TGATCCGTAGTGTTGCAATTTGGTCTGTGCACGACCGATCCTTACGGAATCCAGCTTGTTGATCTCGAAGTTGGGCGTCTACTGCATCCTTCATCCGGTTCAGCAACACTCTGTTGAAGACTTTCCCTGGTATTGACAGTAGTGTAATGCCTCTGTAGTTTTCACATTTGCTCAGATCTCCTTTCTTTGGAATCTTGACGAGGTGTCCTTCTTTCCAGTCCATCGGCACTTGTTCCTCCTCCCAAATCTTTTTGAATAGAAGGTAAAGCATGCTTGTGGTTGGTGGGTTGACTTCTATAGGAAGATCTGTGTGTGCTGCTTCGATGTCCGGTGGATTCATTGGAGCCGGCCTATTCAGGAGTTCCTCGAAGTATTCTACCCATCTGTTACGCTGTTGTTGAATTTCGGTGATTGGCTTGCCTTCTTTGTCTTTGACCGGCCTCTCTGGTTTACTGTATTTCCCTGCTAGTTTCTTCGTTGTATCGTGAAGCTGTTTCATATTTCCTTCTCTAGCAGCTTTTTCTGCCGTCGTTGCTAGTTCTTCCACGTATTTCTTCTTGTCGGCTCTAATGCTCCTCTTCACTTGTTTGTTTGCTTCTATGTATTCAGCTTGTGCTTGAACTTTCTCTGCTCGTGTTCGGCTGTTGTTAATTGCTGCCTTCTTGTTCTTCCTTTCTTTGATCTTGTCCAGTGTTTCTATAGAGATCCATTCCTTATGATGGTGTTTCTTTAGGCCCAGAACCTCTTGACACGTTGAAGTTAATGCTTCCTTGATGCCTTTCCAGTTGTCCTCCATACTAGTTTCTTCTTCTTCAGTAGATCTTGTAAGGCTTGGAACCTGTTGTTGAGAGCTATCTTGAATTCATTGAGTTTGTCAGTATCTCGAAGGAAGGCTGTATTGAACCTTTGTAGTGCTGTTTGTCCACTTGTCCAGTTCTTTTTAGCTTCAGTTTTAAATTGGCTACAACTAGGTGGTGATCTGAAGCTACGTCAGCACCTCTCCTGGTTCTCACATCTTCCATTGTCCTTCGGAATTTTTTGTTGATGCAAATATGATCTATTTGGTTCTCTGTAGTGTGGTCCGGTGAGATCCATGTAGCCTTGTGTATACGCTTGTGTGGAAATATTGTGCCTCCTATGACCAATTTGTTGAATGCACATAGATTTGCAAATCTTTCTCCATTTTCGTTTCTTTCTCCCAGTCCATGTCGTCCCATAATATCTTCATATCCAGTGTTGTCTATTCCGACTTTGGCATTTAGATCTCCCATCAGAATAGTTAGGTCCTTTCTTGGCATTTCTCAATGATTGACTGCAGCCGCTCGTAGAACTGATCTTTAATGTCGTCGTTGCTATCATTGGTGGGTGCATAACATTGGATAATATTCATTAAGATCCCCTCCTTCTTTGTTTTGAATGATGCTTTGATGATTCTGGATCCGTGAGACTCCCATCCTACAAGTGCATTTCGTGCTACTTTGGACAGCATAAGAGCGACTCCCTGAGTGTGTGGAGCATTTTCCTCTTCGTGACCGGAGTATAGCAGCATCTCTCCCGTAGCTAGCCTTTTCTGTCCAGCTTGGGTCCAGTGGGTTTCGCTGATTCCCAGTACTGCTAAGTTGTATCTCCTCATTTCCATTGCTATTTGACTGGTCTTCCCGGTTTCCCACATTGTTCGAACGTTCCATGTACCTATAAAAATTTTTGCTCTGGTTGTTAGAAGGGGCATCGGCCTCGTGGCTTCCGAAGGAACTCGGCTTTCACCATGAAGCGTCATAATTCTTCTAACTGAAGACCTTCTAACTCCCAGGGCAGAGTTTAAATGGTTTGGATTATTTTTTCTGGTAAGCGTTTTTTTAGCGAGTTAGTTTTCTACGGGATGGGGACGCTAACCCCATGCCCAACCCTCCTCCTTTACCCGGGCTTGGGACCGGCAGTAACCCTATAAGAGCTACAGGCGGAGTTTTGATTTTATATGACAAACAACAATTCTTGGTATTGTTTGGCTTGTTTCTTCTCATTGAAGTTTAAGACTGCAATTGATCAGTCTGTTATTGGCATATGTACATACAATTCTTGATTCACATCTTACAATTTTAAATGATGTACTCTGCCTTAAATCTGGCCAATTTTATAGATTATTAATTAGGATTTATAATTATAAAACCTGATGAGAAATTTATTGTTAAGAATATTCTTCGTTCATATAATTGTGTTTTAATATAATGGGAATTTTTCAGCGATTTTTCAGACATGGTAGAATAATGTAAATAGTGAATGATTGTTCAAGGTTTTAGTTTAATGTTCAATTGCAGCATATGTAGAAGACTATAAATAAGAATGGCGAAGAGTTTAATGCAATTTAATTAACCTGATTGACGAGCAAAGGTCTATATTATACTAAATGGACAAACGTTTAACAAATTATCGAATAATTGTATTCTTTGTATTTATATATCAAAAAACGGATTAGTTTTCCCAACATATAACAGTAGTTTATCAGTATATACAGGTAAATGAAATTAAAATCTGAGTTTTCAATCATGATAGTCTATCTAGTGGATTATATATACATAGTTGTGCTCAATAGCCTTAAAAACTATAGACAATATGCACGAACTTTCTCTTCATACACTTTTAAAATGAATTCTATAAAAACAATTTTGATTATTACCACTAAACGGAACATTTTTAAGACAAATATTTAAGATGAGAAATTCAACATACATTGACTATGAACAAAATCCTTTTTAATGGGTGTGGAGATTGTTAAGTTTCTGATTAAAATCTTTAGTCATTTGAGGCTAGGCCACCATGGAAAACCTGGAAGCATTGGACGGCCGTTTCGTCCTAGTATGGGACTCCTAGCAGTGCGCGTCCACGATCCCGCACCCCGCGAGATTCGAATCCAGGACCTGTCAGTCTCGCACCAGGCGCTTAAACAACTAGACCACTGAGCCGGCATCCGACGGTGTTAATGTCTAACTTCAACCAACCCACGAAATTGAGCGACACATCCACCATTGTCTTCAGAGAGTTACTATCTCACAATAGGCCCTAGGTTCGAATCTAGCGAAGCGGGATTGTGGATGTGCACTGCCGAGAGGTCCCATACTGGGACGAAACGGCCGTCCAGTGCTTTCAGGTTTCCCACGGTGATCTAGCTTCAATCGATTCATGATTTCAATAAAAATCCTTTTTGTTTGATTGAATAATTTCATTTTAAATATTTCAGTGAATATATTTTTATGTATGATTCAATCCGGATGAAGAGTTATTTACTAGAACTCGATAAATATGCTGATATATAAAACGTTAATTACAATGACTTGTAAAATTAACAGATATAAAGGGAAATAAATTTATATTTATCATGCTGTGATTCATAGAACATGAAAAACAAACAAATAAACAAGGAAGTTAATAACCAAAACCGAGAACAAAAAATAACTAGAAGAAAAGAAAAGAAATTTTAATCAGCTATTTCATGAGTTGAATAGAAAAGGAACACTCATTTTTATCAGTGATGTTTGTGTAAATAAATTAAAACATCATATTCAATGATAAACTTGCTATTATGCCTAGTCTTGTTATTTACTAAATGTCAATTCGGTAGATTTAACTGATAAATTATTCAAGGGAGATTATTTTAGTTAACTTAACACTGGTTAACTGAATTGAAAGTTAACACTTTCGTTTAGAAATCCCAAATAATAGCAATCATCTTAATATGTTCAACACTACCTGATAATAACGATTATTTTGGAGCTATTTAACTTAGAAATTCCTGCTATGTTTTTGTAATTTTACCTTTAGGGTAAAAACAAAAGAGTCGTTTATCTAGATTTTTGTTTAGGTAATGTTTTACATGCTGATTAATATAAGAAAATTGTGAGTCTATAGTTTAGACTCGTTAGTATAGAATTTTTCAATTAGAAATAGGCAAATACATATTATGCTCATTGTCTTCAATAAGGTTTTAAACCTACCAACAACAATTCATGTGACTGAATTTTGTGCAGCGAACGGTAATTAAAGAAAGCACTAGTACTGTTTTATATAATGTGCGGGATCACCTAATTATAAACAGCTTGAAACATGGATACTTGGCTTATTAACAATAAATTTCGATTTGTAGCATTTGGATTTGATTGAATCGGCTCAGTGACAACATTTAAACAATTATACGTGGAATTTGACTGATTAAAAGTATGAACTAACATCTTATTGACTAACGTTCAAATACATACCAATCGATTTTGTGATGTTGTTTATCAGAAGTTACCTCAGCTTCTTTTTGGCATGTACTATACAGAAGATATTAATCTAAGTACTAATTAACTGTAAACTTAGCATATTGTTAGATTTTAAGTTCTATTGACTTAGTATTCCTTAACTGTTTGCTGGTTACAATAAAATCAAATCACTTATATGTAGTTCGCAATGCTGCGGCATTTAATTTGACATCGATGCCGAATGTAATGTTTTATGTTTATAAGGTCTTCGGATAAAGGTCTTTTAATAAATTATTTCTTATTTCGTATTCATCGAAGACAACTAACTGGCTAGTGTATTTGTAATCTGTCCTCATTATAATCCGGTTAAATAGTCTAATGAAAATCTAGTTAAGGATATGAGATTATTTTAATATAGAATATGTTGCTTTAAAGCTTTGCTGTCAGTATATAATAATCATTTAACCTGAAGTACCTTCCTAATGGTATAAGTGTTCTATTTACTTGTGGTGTAAAAAGGAAGTAAATGAAAACATTCATTAAGTTGTTTCCTGAAGTTAAACAGAATGTACTCATCAATGTGAACGAAAATTCAAGTATTAACATAAGAAATAGTAAATAGAAAAAGCTCATGAGACCCATATGTGTAGTAGATAGTTGTTGTTTGTTAGATCTATTTACGTACACGTTTTGTAAACACTAAACATAAAAACACTATGTTTAACTACTGATTTTTATTGACTGTAATAATTTGCATTTTCTTAGAGATTTGCAGGACAACAAGTTGGTGTGTCTCCCGGGTTCTCTGTTTTCTGGTTTGAATGAATTACGTTTCATGTAAGCGAACTAAATTTTATCATTATTTATCCACTTTTGAGGTTGTTACAAACTTAATAGATATTTGTATTATAGTTAACTAGTTGCTTAATAATTAGTTTTATTAAAGAATGTTTAGTTTTGAAATTGAGAGCTTATGGAAATCGTTCAACCTGAAATTAGATTTCATCATAGTCTAATTTTAGCTGGATAAATGTTGAAAACCTCAGAATACATTGGAATAGTTTCGGGTAATATAGATAAGTTGTTGAATTTAGAAGTATTGACCACTGGATCTTGATGATTTCCTCTTGACCAAGTGATTTAAATTTCCAACGCCAGTTGGAGCTGTTGTCTTTGATCCAAGATAGCAGGTATGTCTTGGTGACAAATGCCAACGAGCATGAAACCTAGATCAAGTAGACCTCCTAATCGACGAACTTCAACCGCCTAACATCTCAACATATTACACACAGTGAGCTATTTGAACTAGCGGCCACATCTTGGTTTAATCGATATAATCCAACCAGTACTTAGGATATGAAAAACATGTAGTTTATCAACAGCTGATGATCACACATTGTAAGTACTTGACCATTCACTGAATAGTATTCATTCACTTATTAAACTGTATGAAATAGCATGTAACTGTAAAAAGCCACATTACTCTAATAGGGCTGTTTATATCACATTAAGTTTTTCAAAAAACTAACTCCTTTGTAATCCCAAATATTACGGTTACAGATAGTCACATTCTTATTTAGGAATTATTTCAGATAAATTTGCTAAAACACTCATTATCACTCTAAGATTTGTTTTTGTAAGTGTATGTTTATTTGTACTTACATCTATGGTTTTATCTCAAACCAATTTCTTGTGATTTCTTTTTAATAGCCTCCTAGCAAGAAACAATCTGATATGGCTGCCTGGATCGTTAATTTCCGATCTGAAATTACTTCGGTACATGTAAGTTAATCATGAATAATTAGTTTCTATTTTATTTGAACAATCCACAAATGATTTACAACGCAGAGATTTTTAGTCAAATTTAAAACTACAGTGCGACTATCAAAGTGTAAGAGTTATTCTTCTAAAATTCAACTCGTTATTACTGAACAGTAACGAACTATGTCAATTTATGTTTGTCTTATCATACACTACTATCGGAAGGACCTTGAGAACCAATCAGCCTTTTGACAGTTGTGTTATTTTTACACTAATATGCTACAGGATTACTGAAGGTTTGACTATTTTACGGATATTTACTAATATCGTATGATTTATTTGACTAGAGAGCAACTGTCAAACTAACTGAACAGAAACTGATAGATTAGTATTTTGCAACAGAAATTCGAAGCTGATAAAGCCATTATTAACTACTTCATTAAAAACTACGAGTACAGAATCAAATAATCGATTAGTTCTGTGGACAGTAATTTCTTTATAAGAATACAGAGAATATTTTCTACTAAGTTGTATTAAACGCTCAATGTGCTTTCATTAAAATTGTTGGATTTACAAGCTTTCAGTCTTACAAGCTAAAACCCCTGTTTATCATGAGAAGTGTTTACAATGAATGATCTCCTGTTATTGATTTATTAAATTTAACTTATAATAATTAAATTTATTTAATACTTATTTTTGTCAGTTATGCATGGTAAATAGCTTACAGATCATTTAAATTCATTAATTTCTCCTTCCTGATCTAATGGCATTTACATTTGGATAAATAAAACAAAAAAATATCGTATTTGACCGGTACATAGTAACTAATCCATTAACTCTTCACATGAAATGAAAACCTAAAACGATTTATATTAGGAATTGAAAATAATTAAGTTCATTGACAAAATGTTCATTTTCTAATTCCTTCAATAATGAGTTAAGTGCTTTTATAAGAAAATCCTGTATATCAGTATAGGATGGTGGGGATTATTAAGTTTTTGATTGAAATCATGAACTGATTGATGTTAGACCACCATTGAAAATCTGGAAGCACTGAACGGCCGTTTTGTCCTACTGTGAGACATCAGCAGTGGGCATCCACGATCCCAGTCGAGGGATTCAAACCTAGGGCTTTCGGTCTCGCGCGAACACTTAACCTCCAGACCACTGAGCCGGCATCCAATGGTGTTAATATTTAACCTCAAACAATCTGCGAATTTGCGCGGCCATCTTCCATTGTACTGAGGTAGATACCTGTTTCTACCCGACACGTGGTTTTATAGTCAGTAATCTAAGAACTTAGGTTATGTGCTTATATGAGATATGACGATGGTTATATGGTTAAAATATCAGTTAAAACCACTTTTTATTTGACACTTTTATCAGAAAGGAGTATTCTTTGATTGTGTGAATAAACCAGTGCTTATAATTCATAAAAAACTGACCATTCCTTCATTATACATGTAAGAAATATATGGGGCTTCAAATTAAGTCTGGAGTTTTACGCAGTGAGGACTATTAGTTCTGATAAAACTGTTCTATAATGTAGAGTAACCATCAGTGGAGGACATTATTCTTCGTTTTATTTAAAATTTATTAGTTGATATTCTACTTTTCAGGTAGTGATCTTCAAATTTAAGACCTTTAACGATTAAACAAAATATGTAAAGGGGTCTCTTTAGTTGGGTAAATTTACAATACCCTAAGTTATTTGAACATATTAGTGCAAATCTAACCTTTTATGGCATACTTTGTGCATTTAACTTACAATGATTTATCGTTACAGTTAGTTTCATTGTCGTAATCCAGGTGGTCTTTAACACAAAGTTATTTTCAATATCTAGTTCTGTCATATTTAGTAGGCTGATAAGTAAGATTATGTCAATAATGATTCAAAAGTTAGTGAAAAACGTTCCATTAATGACCCTGTGTTCGTTATTTGAATATGTGTCTCACATAAAATACGGGATGAAAACCATGCGTTTCAAATGGTCTAAACCTCAGTCATTAGAATCTGTATTCTGTAACGAACTACATTTAAGATCCATGTGACCTAATTATCTAGACATTCAGTAACAAAAATGGTCCAATAGTGGGGAAGATGGTAGTCTTTTATGTTGAGGGGTTAGTCTGTTAGCTTTTTATTAAATGTGACCACATATTATTTCACGTGTACTCTCAATCATTTGTTCAAAAAAGTTTTTTATCCGCTGCCTTAAAATATATACTCAAATATGACTTTACTGTTATTATGGTTCATGTCTGTTTAGTGATTTAAAAGAAAATCCATTACAATGTGATTGTCATATTCAACCATTTTTAAACGAGTTTATTGTGAAAAATCGTTTGGCAATATTAAAGAAATCTGGTGCAGTTTGTTCTTCAGTGAGTACAGATCCAAGTTTACATGGATATCCACTAAGTGAAAATGTCTATCAAACACTTCGATGTCCTCGTAAGTGATTTCCGTATAAGGATATATTGGTTTTGTAACTTATTTACACAAGAAATTTTAGATTTGTGTTGTTGTAAAGGAAATCAACTATTCACCTAATCAGTTATGCTTAATGTTGGTTGAATGAACATTTATTCTACGCTGTACTAGACTAATATTGTTACTATTACTATTCACTGAAAGTAAGTAACGGAGATTGAAAATTATGACCAATGTGCGGGTTCTGAAGGGTGCTTATGGTTAGTACGGAGATAATACTGGGAGTATGGAATATTTTCGACTATCGATACTAGTTCTCTTGGGTTAGTGGGTAACCAAGCTAATTACAAGATTTATTGACCCGAGATCTAAATTCATGTTGGTCGTTTGCTGCTTGTTATCGCAATATACTTGTTGCCAATCCTCCTCATCAATTTAGATCGCGTTAATGAGTAATGGAATTAAATAAGTCAAATACGAGAATGGATTCTTGTATACGTATATTTCGTGTAATCATTGATCGGATAGCGAAAGAAAACAAAATGACACACAATGAAGAAGGCTAGTGAGCCAACTCGATTTAACCGAGGGTGAACCTATATTTTTAATGAAACAAAAATAAGTTACAGACCCAATGAGTAAGGCATGTAATTAGCGCACGATCATATAAAAAACAATCAGGATTAACAAGCGAATGAGTGACAGGGTAAAAATATGGCTTTAGAAGAATGAATAGATTGATCTGTCCAGAGGCTAGAATAACCTATGTGGGCTTGATATAGTACCAACCCTTACAAGATCCATTAACAAAGTGACCTTAGTTTTGCCCTATATACTGATAATTTTAGATGAATTCCATTGGAGTTAAATAATAGCATCAATTTTGACTTCATTACACAGTCTGCATATCGAAATTTATCAGGACCAAATAGAGCAAAAGTAAATGTAGCACAATTGGTTGTTATTTACACATAAAGCAGCTAAGGATAAAAGTCACTTACAAAAGTGTAATGGATGTACCATTGAGTTATTTTTGTATGAGTTAAACCATTTTATTTACAGTCTAAGAATCTATGGTTCGATTCCTACCACATATTTCTTTACATTTTCGATCAGGGATACAATAATAGCTTAAGAAGAAAGTAATTATTCACAATATTAGAAAGATGGAACTTTAATTTTGTGATAATGTCACCGTTGTTGATGAGGTGTTCACACTCGTTCAAAACTATAAATCACTTTAATTAGCAATACATAAAATCTAATGATGTATCACAATAATTTATTAGGTAAAACAAAGCCGTCGACTGATATTTTCAAAGTTTAATTCCAGTGACAATTACCTAACAGAAAGCTGAAGAGATCCTAAGATATCAACTACAAACTAGCACTCTCTTTTCTTTTACATTCAATGTTTATATATCATTATCCCCCTCCCTCAACTCGATGCATTCTATTTACTTGTTTCTATTCAGTTCAAAATGTTCTACATTATGGCCAAATATTTGAAAAAATATATCTTCTTTACCTTATAAAAATTATGTTTATCATAATATTTATGTTATTTTTTGAAAACCCTATCAAATAACTTCATATGATACACAAAGAAACTTATATAGTTCCCTAAAAGAATTCAGGATTTTAACTTATGAAAACTGAATAATACAATGAAAATATACACTCCTAGCAATTATCTGACAAGTTATTCACAGATAAACATAAACAAAAAAAATTCAAAGTGTTTACTTGTTGTATACGTAGATAATAAAATAGGAGTCACTTAACATGTAAATAAATTCATAATTAGCATATAAAACTGAAATTTGAAGGTGATGCATATAACAAACAGAATGTGACTGAGTTATCTATAGAATAATAAAGTTAAATTGAATTAAAGATGGTAACCATTGTAAAGCCAATCATAGCCGATTTCTGATTTGATTTAGATTGGCAACATTGAGGCAAGTTGTATAAATAGATGATATTATCAAATGATAAGTATAACAAACTTCAGTAACGTATTCATCAAATATATTTCACTACTTTTGTTTATTTTATCTGATTATTTTTGAAAACGTAAACTATATAAAGTAATCAGTTCGTTTTCTAGTTTACTGAAACCAGTAGGTCCTGGGTTCGAATCTCACAGGTGGCGAGGTCGTGGATGCGCACTGCTGAGGAGTCCCACAATAGGACGAAACGGCCGTCCAGTGCTTCCAGGTTTTCCATGGTGGTGTAGCTTTAACTGACTCATGATCTCAACCATTGAAATTACTACAATCTTCACAAAACCCATCTGAGATAAATAAGAGTCAACATATTGCGTAACCGTTTTGGATATCACACCGACTGTAATTTGTATTCAAAAGTATCTCTCACTCAAAAGGCTAATACATAGAAATATACAAACTGTAGCCACTAGTATTGATAGAGTTGAAATTTCCAAACCATCAGCTATTAGCAAATATATGAAATTCTGAGTGTATTTTTAGAATAAAATTAAGTGGATTTGGTGATTCGTGGGCAGTTTTTATCATGTCAGTTGGTCATTGAGTAACAATAAAGTGAGGGATCATCATTAATCTTTAGTTAGATCTTTTTGCTGAATAAAGTCAATATGCAACTTTTAAGTTCGTTTTTGAAAAGTTTTATTCAAAGTTATGTTTTTAATATTTTTTTATTAGTTGATTCAGAAATGGTACAAAAACCTCCACAACAGTGTATATCGTTAATTAGATCTTCATGTGATGGAATTTGTGATTGTTCAATTGAAGGTGTTGCCAATTGCCAAAGCCGTGGATTAAAATCGATACCAAATGATTTACCAAAAGATATCATGGAATTGTAAGTGGATTTTATTATTGTTTAGCTTTCAAAAAATATGAAAATATATTTGTGAAAGTGGAACCGTATTTGTTATCATTATATTTATCCTCATTTACTGAATACGTTCATTAATACAAATGTTTATCTATCTGTTAAGGGGTTCACTTAATAAGAACTATGTAACTAGTGAATTGTTCAAGATCCAAAAACTAGGAATATGTGTCTAGTTCTTTTTAGGGACTTTGAATCAGTACACACTTCTCATGAGTCCAAATTCAGATTCTTCTGGTCTAACAGCATGATTGATACGTGTTAGATGGATGAATACAATGGTGTAAGTCTTAGAACCCGAGTAATCAGCGTCTTACCCCCATTGTTTTCGTTAGTGTTCAGTTATATGAAACTACAACCTAACTCTGCTTACAGATTCACATTATTCAATGGTTATTCAGTTGCTTACACTTCCGAATGGAAATCATATCTAAGTAGTACGAAGTTCCTCCTGAAGCATTAGAGTACTCAACACCGCGTTAACGTTCACATGAGTATATATATAGGAATGAAATCACACTTGGGTCAAATATTCCAATTTTTTTGAATGAAATATTTCTCGAACAACTGTTAATTTCTTGACATTATTCGTTAAGAAATGATGAATGGGCTTACAAATAACAATGAGTATAGTAATTAAGAAATGATTTCATTCTTATGACGAGCGTATTTATTAAATTAGACGTTTAGTTTGTAGGTGTACATTTCTCTGAAAAGTTATTTAGTATTTAAAATCTTTTATGTGATTTGGTAGTGAAAACAACAACAAAAAATTATTCACATTCACTTGGTGTTGCTTTATTTGTGTATCTTCCGATTGTTATTTAGAACTGAAATTGATCGGTCTCATGTTGACATATGTTCATCCTGTACCGATTGCCTCGATATAGCCTTAAGTCACAAGCATTTTAAGCGGCTGACGAGTCCCAAATAGGACGAAACGCAAGTCCTAGATTCCACTGCTAGCCACTATCCATCTTTGCTTAAAATAATCCACAGTACGCAACTAACAAATGAGCTGTTGATTGAAAAAGCAGAAAAAAAAACATTTATTATAAAGGCAGATGTACTCTTCATACATATTTTAAAATAAACTTTAATGTAACTGAGTGAAAATTAAAAAAAAAAACGGTTAAAACAGTAAATTTTTGTTTAATCTAATTTCCAAATTTCTATTTGACTTGTAAAGAGAGGCAGTTTTTTTAGAATTTGTATTATATTAAAGTTCTTTATATAGTTACTTTATATACTAGTGAGTATTGGTTTCCTTCTAGCACTCAAACATAGTTTATATATAATGATAAAATGTTGAATGAATTGTGAATTGTTGAATCGCATTAAGATTAATCATCTAAACAAATAGTGTTAGACACTAACACCAATGGATGCCGGCTCAGTGGTCCAGTAGGTTAAGCGTTCGCGCGCGAGACCGAAGGGCCTGCGTTTGAATCCCGCTCTTGAGATCGTGGATGACCACCGCTGAGGAGTCTCACAATAGGTCGAAATGGCCGTTTAGTGCTTCCAGGTTTCCAACGGTGGTCTAATATCAATCGGTTCATGATCTCAATAAAAAAATGGTGAGCAGTTTAGATAGATTAAAAAATCATAAAAATATAAACCTTCTACTTGTTAGTAGTTCGTGAAGAAAAATATGTTTATCGAAAGATCAAGAACTGTCTTTATCAGTGACCGATCAATAGTAGTTTATTGTCTTGATGATGAAAATGACTTTATCTTTTTAGTACTATGAATAGAAAACCATAATGCTTACATGGAAGTATTACTGTATTCATTATGTTTTGTCTTAAACATATTCATTTGTTTATCTTCAACCAAAACTGATTACTAAAGGTTAACGTTTTTAGTTGCTATGCTTAAGAACAGTTGAATTAAGGTTTTGTTTTAAAAACAGTGAATATTTATAAATGATTTTTTTTGCCTGTTTGTGAATAATTAAAATTAACTGTTAAATGATTCAAAGTCATGCTAATTGAAAAGGTCTATAGTTGACAACCAAAATTTATGAATTCTATGCATATACATCTTTAATTCTAGAAATCTGGATCATAATGAACTAACTTCTCTGCCATTGGATGCATTTATTAATTATAAAAATCTGAGAAAAATGTAAGTTTAATAACATATACATATAATCAAATAACTTGGAAACATAAATCATTACTGTAATGTGCTTCTATATACCTAGGAAAAGTTTATGTTTATTCTGAAGGTATGTATATATATTTATTGGATAATATGCAGAAATATAGTATAGTAAAAAGCTGTACCTGTACTATTGTTACTAATTATAAACCAACTTTAGAATTTACGCACTCAAGTGGACTACTGACAAAATTTGTAGAGCATTTTGTATCACTGAAATTTATTTTCATTTGCTTAAATGAATTATTATGAACGTAATCATTTAAGTCATTGTTTATAGATTTCTATGCTAATATTTATTATTCATTCTGTTGATATGTTTTGTAAAACTTTAACACAATTTACATAAGAATAGAATTTTAGACCAGTTGGTGATGATACTTACTTACTTCTGTTATCTTTCGTGGAGGAGCATGAACTGCCAACCAGCATTCTCCAATCTTTTTCAGTTGTTATTCATTCTTTTCATATTTGCTTCTGATTCCCGTCACAGTCTATTCTTTGGCTTCCCTTTTTTCCCATTTCCTTCAGGATTTCAAGTTAGCGCTTGGCATGTGATACAGTTTGATTTAATCGTCTTTTCCTACTCTCTCCTCAGATGGAAGCTGGTTTATCCTCTTCCATAGTAGACTGTTGTTGATGGTATCCGGCCAACGCATATTGAGTATCTTGTGTAAACAACTATTTATAAACACCTGCACTTTCTTGATGATGATTGTAGTAGTTCTTCAAGTTTCGGCTGCATACAGTAGAACTGTTTTGACGTTCGTATTGAAGGTTGTGGCTTTGACATTGGTTGACAGTTGTTTTGAGATCCATATGTTTTTCAATTGTAGGAATGAGACCGTTGTCTTACCAATCTTCGCCTTTACTTCTGCATCCGATACTTCTTGTTCATCGATGATGCATCTATGATGATACATTTTCTAATAATTAATTACAATAATGCAACGTTCTCTTATAAATCTTCGAAACATCAATGATCCTTATAAATAATTGATTTTTAATTAATAAAATCACTTGATGTTGTTTTACTTGTATTTTCCTATCGTTATTTAGGACTGCAATTGACATATGTGTATCCTGTACGGATTGCCTTGATATAGCCTTAAGTCACAAGCTTTTAAAAAGATGGATAGTGGCTAGCAGTAGAATTTAGGACGCGCGTTTCGCCCTATTTGGGACTCGTCAGCTGGATATACCTGCATCGCAGAGTTGATATTCAATCTGGGACTTAAACTCATTATCGTTCGCTTCAAACACCACCTCGTTATCCACTTTGCAGGTGGCTATCAGGACTCGGTAGCTAAGTGGAGAACGCGATATCGTTTGAAGCGAACAGTAATGGGTTCGAGTCCCAGAATGAACATCAACTCTGCAATGGAGGTATATCCAGCTGACGAGTCCCAAATAGGACGAAACGCTCGTCGTAAATTCTACTGCTAGGCACTATCCATCTCTGTCAAATGAACAACATTAGATAAGTATTTATGTGAAAATTTCATACGAAAATTAGTTTACTCTAATATAAGTGAATTAAATTAGGAAATTGTACGTTTTATTTTATGTTTGCCATTGAAATAAGTTGAAATTTTGATGTACAAATATTTACTGCATAAGCAAAGAAAAAATAAACGAACTAATTTTGAAAATAAACACCGTTAAACTATGATAAAATATTTTGATGAGGTTTTGTTCTCTGAGCTGGATGGTTTGGTCGTGGAACTTTCATCGTTTTTCTGAACGACATTATCAGTACAAACTTCAGATAGAAGTCTGTCTGTGCTAATGATTTCGTTCAGAAGAACGATGAAAGTTCCACGACCAGACCATCCAGCTCAGAGAACAAAACTCCATCAAAATCATCCATCTGAACTACAAATCTTCTTTACCATCTCAATAATAAAATATCCATGTTAACCAATTTGGATTGATAATATGAATTGTTTATTCAATTTATTATTGATCTTATGGGTATTTGAATCTTTGCCTAATTTGAAAATTATTTTAAGCATTTGAAAGTAATAAACTATTCATGTTTCATTAGATAGTTGGATATTTCTGTTTTATTATTTGTTTTCCTAAAGAAAATAGTTTAAAAAAAATCACATTGTTCTATTTCGATTAGTACAGTTAGAACAGTTTTATTTACTAGTTAAATAACTTTGATATTTATTATCAGTTATAATCCATTGTTTAAATATATATTTAGTGTAGCAACTAAATAATTGAAGCGTTCATGCGCAGGACGGATAGGTCCTAGGTTCGAATCACGCGAGGCGGTATCGTGGATGCGCACTGCTGAGGATTTCCATACTAGGATGAATTGGCCATATAGTACTTCCAAGTTTTCCATAGTGATCTAGTTTTAACCGGCTCATGAATTAAAATATTAAATAAATAATATTGTTTATTCTCTATAAAAATATGAACAATGTTTATGTGTACTTCAATCAGTTTCATTGCCTAAACACTTCATGTTGTAAATTATTCATTTAAAAAAGTAGACTAGTTCATTTTCTAACATTCTTAGAAATCATTTTGAATGTAGATATTTTAAAATTAAATTAAGGTTTATCTCATGCATACAAACTAGATACAGTCAGTATTTTAATCTTTTGCTATATTATAGTGTTTTAGATAACAATCGGATATCATATATTCACCCACAAGCATTCAATAATCTTCGAGAACTTTCATCTTGTAAGTTATAATGTTATAGATTTTTTGTCAAAGAATTACTTACTATCCATTATTTATTTGAGGTTAACAATATAATTGACCATGAACTTGTAGCACGAACTAAAGTCAACCAAAGATTCGTTGAAAGTCTGTGAGAAGACATTGAATACGTTTTTTATTGAAAATTAAAACAAAATGAACACCCAGTAACATCTTGTCCTTGATTTAAGTCAATAACTTTCGAGTATCTAGACGTAAAGATAACTTTAAACCATTGAGTCAGGATTCAGTGATTTTGACTTGGTTTTTATTTATATTTCATGGGACGAAAGTAGTTGGCTAAAATCTTTTTCAGATGCTAAACTTAGGGTTGATGTCAAAACTTAGATACCTAGATCTTGGATCAGTTTGCCGTGATACTGAGTAAGTGAATTAGAGATAAACATAATAATCACCTTTTTGAACTATCCCACCTTAAATTCATGAATGTTTTTTAGACATTTGCTTTTTTAAAACATAAATCATTGTTATATGACTAAAATTTTAGAGCCAGGATAGAGCATTGGTTTCATTGAGCCCTCAGCATGGATAGAAAGGCTCGACTAGCTTTTGCCAACTTGCGTCATTTATGGCGTAGGCAAGATACCCGTCTATCAACCAAAAAACGTATTTACTGCACAGCAGTTCGTTCCGTCCTACTTTATGGCAGTGAAACATGGCCGATAAGAATAGAGGATATTCGTAGGTTGCTAGTATTTGATCACAAATGTCTTCGAAACATTGCTCTTATATCCTGGGACCATCGAGTAAGTAATACAGTTGTTAGGAAACGGGTACTAGGTAAGGATGACAAGTCAACTGTAGTAGTAAAACTTCATCAGTTGAGATGGCTGGGACATGTGTTACGTATGCCCAACGACCGACTGCCTCGACGTGCGATGTTCAGTGGTATAGGAGTAGGTTGAAAGAAAGCTAGGGACAGCCAGGCCAAAACTTGGCAAAAGTCCATGAAGTCACTGATAAGTGAATTGAGCCATGTTGGTAGGTGTAGACTATCTGGTTGGGGACCACGAGATGATAGCAACCAATGGTTAGAGACCCTGGATGACATGGCTCAAAATTGTTTGCAATGGCGCAGGTGCATCCACTCTTTGTGTTCTCCTAAATTCTAATCTCCTGAGTCCTCCTTGTTTCCTTTTTTCTCCTTTCAAATTTATTTCATTGGATTATACTTTTTAAGTAACATCTTCAAACCCTAATGTCTCCGATTACTGCTTATACTCTTACCACCTCTACCACTACAGGATTTGAATCGACAACTGCATCTCTGTGCTAGTGTGTTATGGCAACTCGAACTGATGTACGTACGTACGAAGTTCTACGTTGTTACTGACTGACTGACTCATTGAGTTTTAAACTATTGTTTGTTATCTTTAGATTAATTCCACTAAACTTGTTTTTATCAGTAAATATTTATTCATGCAATGAAGAAAAAAAATGTTTTTCATCAATTTGCTCAACAGGTTAATAAGTTAAGTTAGTGATTGAATAAATATTTGCAAGATTAAATCAACCAGAAATGAAGATAACAGACAATTAATTTAGCATATAAAGATACAAAACTGACGCCATTTAATGCAGTAATATTACATAATCAAAAAATTTATGCAGCCAGAAAGAAAAAAAGCCTTCATTAAAAGACTGAACATCATTGAATATGAAACGCATGGATACACCTTTATTACTAAATATTATAGATATTTTCGTCTTTCAATAACTTATTTAGATAAAAGAAATTAGGTTTTACTTCAGAAAACCGACTAGAACTATGACGTTTAGAATTTGGAACGATGTTTATTTTTGTGTTTCCCTCTCACTTTAAAGTTAGTTGATGAAATATACTGCGTCTAGATGTTTTGATATCTGTTGGTTTAACTATTCACTTATTAAGTACATAAACTATTCAGGCGACTAGGTTATTTTTAATAAATAATAACGGTAAAAAAGACATCTTGTTACTAATAGAGGTTGTGGTAAGATTGATTTACGTTGATGCAATTTATGAGATTTCTTGAAGTGATTTTTAACTATTTTTTTCTTCAATTTTAACAGGTACATGAGCTCAAATGAACTAGGCTCACTTCCATCAAGGTTATTTTCTCAACTCTCGAATTTGAAAATACTGTAAGTTGATTTAACAAATTACCTGTTTATTAATTTATTGTTGAAAGTGGAAATGGAAACTGATTACTAGTACTCTTATCTTCGACTTAAATTATGGGAAATAACTAAATTAAGTTGTATTTGTTAAGTTTATCCACTTTGCACATTTTACTCAGTCAGAGATACACTTTAAAAAGTAACATTTTACTCATCCAACTTGGCAAACATTATTCACCTGCTTAAAGATTCCAAGATTCTACTTAAAAACTGGCCTTCTTTAACATTTGGTCACTTCACTTATACTGGACTTTTTAAAAAATTTGATGGTTAGACGAATGACGGAAACATGTCAAAATACTAAAGGTTCATTCAGCTTTAAGATTTGTCACTTATTTGTGATGCAGGTACAATTAACATTTTACTGTCAACAACCAGTTATACATTGAAGCTGTCTAATTTTGATTAATTTTGATTACAAGGTTAATAGAGTGATGGATTCTATTTGGTTACGATTACTGCAAAAACGTGATACGTAGGCTTAAGTACGGTCTGTTTCTTTGTTTTTTAACGTTTAGATATCTATAATGCGTATCAGAGTAAAAAGAAATCCATAAACTAACATGTTGTTTTCATAATGATCAGTAGTCCAGTCATGATCAATAAAGAGTCTGGGACAGTTGTACAATAGCCCAAGTTCTTGTACAAATCACAACAATGAGATAAAATCAAGTTGATACCAATCAGAAGAGTTAAACATTAGAGAATACGAGTTGAGAAATGAGTATGAGTGAATAGAATGACCAGTTATAATAATAACAACCTATAAAATGTAGCAACGAAAATATTTAAATAAACGCAGACAAAATGTCATGAATATTTCAGCGATGGATCCAGAATGAATCGTCAGAAAAAATAAATAATGATTATAGTAATGTGCTCTCTCTCTTTCTATATACATGCGGTTGTACATTTTTAACAATATTATCTTCGATAAGATATTACTTAGCTGAACAACATTCTTAATTTCTAATACCTAATAGTTTAATTAAAATACAGCTATGGCAGAAACAAATAATCATCAATACAACAAACTGAATATTTGAATACTGTCTTGATGGTAAGCACCAACATTATGAGTTCATTGACCTCACTTTTCCATCGCTACATATGTTTTTAATATTTTCTTTAGAAGTTTATCCTTTTTTTTACATTCAACCGATTATTTACTCACAATTTTAGATATTTACATCGAAATAAAATCTCTTGCATACATCGAGGATCTTTTGCAGCTTTGGAGCACTTACAAATCTTGTATGTTGGTTCTGAAGTTTAATTTTGTAGAATTGTAATTAACTTGTTTACAAACCATTTTAAGAACATTTTTTAAGAGTAAAGAATAACTTGATTGAATTTAGAAATTCTAAAGTATTATTCATGTCAACATTTTACACGTTTGGTTGATCATCTGTTTCTGTTTGATTTAATCATATTAGCCCAACGTTTTTTCCGTAGATAATATAGATATCTCAAGAGCTACAATACGATGCTACTACTGTGTTTTTGAAAACAACTTTTTTTAGATTTAGTATTTAGATAGAAAAAGATAATCTTTGATTTCATTCCGAGTGTTCGTTATATTCGTTATTTATTGCGAAACAAAGCTTACATCTTCCATGCGTGCCTTATCCAGATTGGTTGATAATTACTTTCAGATTATAAATCTGTAGAATTATTTAGTACATCAAAAACAATGGCCAGTCAATAAACTCTTCGACAAAGAACCTGCTGAGCTACTTATACTGAATTACGTAATTTTGTAATCAGATTTTTAAATGTAAAGAGATTTCTTTGAATAACTGTAAATGATACCAGAAATATGTTACGTATATTTTATGATTACTGGAAAACTCCTACCTTATATTAAAAATGATGTGAATGATCTGTATCATAATAGATGATTACTAAAATCAATCGTTGGATTTAACCAGTCCCTTCATGAAAACACATTGAGAACATAATTAGATAATATTTAGTTATTCAATGTACAGATTTCCGGGAATTGCTAACATCTCATTTATCACGCTCCTTAATTCACAAAGAAGGACTCCTGTAATTTCATGTGAATATTATGCTCAAAACATTCCAAAAAACATTTATAATTACATAACTGATATGTTACTAATCTAAATACAAGTTCGATTTTTGAAAAAATTCCCTTCAGGTTAATTCATTTACTATTTTTTTTCCTTTCAAAACTTTGATTAATTACACACTGTAAAAAAAGGAAACTACTTTGTTTTAAATTTACTCATAATTTATTGTAAAATACTTAAGTATATTTATAACTTGATCAGAATTGTTTTCTCATACATTTAATAAATTCACTGATTTCAGACATTTATCAAATAATCGTATACAGACATTCCCAGGAAATAGTTTTGAGGATCTACGTCGATTGAAATATTTGTAAGTTTCTTTGAATATAAAGTTCTTTTTTTCTTTATAAACAAAACAACAACTAATTTTTATAAAAATACGGTAATAGTAAATATGTGGTTTTAAACCATTGAATAGTTTATGCAATGAAATGAAGTTAATTTCCTCACATATTTTGATATATAAGTCATAACTGTTAGTCAACCTGGCTGGATTAGTTGGAGTTAGACATTAACACCGTTGGATGCCGATCAGCTCAGTGGTCTAGTGGTTAAGCGCTCGCGCACGAGACTGACAGGTCCTGGGTTCGGACATCGCGGGGGGTGGGACCGTGGATGCGCACTGCTGAAGAGTCCTGTACTAGGACGAAATGGCCGTCCAGTGCTTCCAGGTTTTCCATAGTCATCTAGCTTCAAGTGACTCATGATCTCTACCACTGTTACTTAGCTGAATTGACTTAATAAACTGTAATTATTATATTTCGATAATGCAATGAGAAGACGAAGTTTATCAGAATTATATGATATATTTGCGCAATACATTTCGAACAATCTGATCACACATATACTTGTTAAGATATTTTTTATAAGAAAATTAAAAGATCAGCTAGACAGGTTAAAGGTAAGCCGTAACTAAGAAAAATAAAGTACACAAAACAGTATGTTAACCATTCTGGATAATAACTCAGTATTACCAGGGTAGGTTAATTGCAAGGACAAATTGATTTTGAACGCATAAAGGGGGTTTCAATTTCCGTATAGCGAAGGCTTCAGTAAACCTTAGTATACGTCCTTGAAGGACTTTGTATAACACTACAAATGCTGATTTGATATCAACCTTATGACCAGTCTCAATCAAATGTTTCGCAATAGAGGATGATATCTGTCTATCTTGTGATCTTATTTGACCATAGGAATCTATTTGTTACTGCAACAATTTCGGTATATGTTCGCCCACCCTTGATTGCAAATCACGATTGCTCCTCCCTAAGTACGTGTTTCTGCACATACATGTAAATTGATAGACTTAATGGGATGTGACACAATCGCTTTCGTGCTGTTTAGGCTTTAGGTGAAACATAGACCTTGTCCTTTCGATAATGATAAGTTAGGCTGCATAAAATGTCCGGTTGATAGCTAATTTAAGTCTCTGTTTCGACATGAGACTATTTGTGTCGCCTCTGAATGGTAAAGTAACGTAAACTCGCTTTTTGGGTGCCAGAAGCGTCATGAGTCTAGTCGTATTACAACCCTTCCAGAGGTTTATGAACTTCAATGAATAACCATTATTTATTAACGTATCAGTGAAGAGCTTCGTCTTTCTCAACAGTATCACCAGTACAAATACGATTGATTCTATTGAATAATCCCTTCATTAATCCACGTTTGTAATGAAATGGGCAGTGACTATGTTCGAAATGTATTGTGCAGATATATCACATAATTCTGACAAACTTCGTCTTCTCATTGCATTATCGAAATTTATCAAAGGGACTAATTATTTTAAATTAATATATTCCCAATTAAACTGTACTAAGTTATCCACATAATATTTAGTGAAGCCACCAATGCAAGTTATCAAATAAATCTGAATGAATTATCAATCTCGTTTCGGTTAGATAAGAATGTACTCAGTGTTCATGGAAATCAAGATTAATGAAGTTGGTTCTCGTCAGTAAATTTAGATCAGATTAAAACTATTTTATCGGGAAAAGTTGTTGAAGTAACCGTTGTGGTTACCGTTTAATCATATTACATTGTTTTAGTTTGTAAATGGATCATGGCACTATAATCATTAATGTATATGAAGGAGTTATTTACTATGTCAAAAGTGTTTATAATAAATATGTTTACTTTTTACATGTTTGAATACAAAATTTATGTTCTTCTTCTTTCATTTTCCTAAATAATAAAGATATTTAGTTCATAATCCACTTATATGTGACTGTCAATTAGCAGCTTGGTTACCAGCTTTTCTTATTGAAAAAGAAGCTGGTGGTACACAATGGGCTAGATGTGCGGAACCATTAAATGTCCAAGGTCGTCATGTACGAGAATTATTACCTCATATATTGGATTGCCCAAGTAAGTACTACCTTGATTAGAAAATATTATTTAATAAACTCTTCAAAAAGCAATTACTTTTTAATTACAAAAATAGAGATTTAGTGAGGATAGGAAATATTCGAAAAAAACAGAATGGATAGTTTAGTATTCGAATTTTCCATTAAATATTGCCAGATTTATCTGTTCGATAGGATCCGCCTAGTTATAAAATTTTACTTTTGTAGGGATCTTTTCCTGCTAAAAGTAAAGTCAATGAATATTAGAACCAATAATAAAAGCTGTGAGATCGATAATGGTAGTTTATTAAATATTCTCTTAAGGTCTCTATCCGAAAATAATGATGAAAAAGAAAGATAAATTGTTTTGAATGACATATCTCAAGTGTTTATATGAGATGCCTATAAATTTTTAGAATATTTTTACAAAGCATTTTTACTACCAAAAAGAGGAAACAGGTCTCAATTTTTCACATTTCTTTGTTGTAAACCAACATCATATTACACCTGATTTCCTTTCCAAAAGTTATCTTTTCTTTCGGAAATATTACATAGTTAGGATCATAGTTCTGATAATAACTGGCTACTATGTGGATATTAAAGTAATTTTAATAGTTGAGAACATGAGTCAATTGAATCTAGACCATCATGGAAAACTTGGAAGCACTGGACGGCCATTTCGTCCTATTATGGGACTCCTCAACAGTGAGCATCCACGATCCCATTTTCCATGGTGATCTAACTTCAATTGACTCGTGATCTCAACTACTAAAATCATATTTATCAATCATTCTGGAAGGTTTTTAATTTTGAGTATGAGAAAAATATCGAACATTTTACTGGTAGTTCTATTCAAAGAAACTATAAAAGATTAATTATTGTTGAATAGAGTTAAAAGAACGTAACATCCTGATTACTTTATATTAGTCATGTGTTTTATTTCCCTATTTTAAATATAAACAATTCAGGTAATATCAACTATAAAGAAGAAAATAATAGTTGCGAATTTCTCGATCATCAATGTCCAGATGGCTGTAGATGTAAAGATATTATTATCAAGCCTAGAATGCATGCAAATTCTGAAGCCATTTTCAGACCAGATGAATTTGGATCAATTCTTGGTGGATTAAGTGTTGACTGTTCAGGCTTAGAATTAACAGAAATTCCTGATAATTTACCAATAAATACAAAGGAGCTGTGAGTCTGATATCTGAATAAAGCATGAACTAGTAGTTATCTTTATTGAATAATAATTATTTTAGCTCGCAAGTTTTGCATTTACTAATGACCAGCAGGACGATACCGCCTGAAAATAATGTATGCTTTTATCTTGTAAAAGTATTCTAAAATATTCACCTGATGAAGCGATTCAACAGTATTTATGTTTAGGAAGTTCTGAAGATCTATTGATTCAAAAATTAAATCTAAAGCTTGAATACACGTTCGTGTTAAGTTCATCCATATACAAATAAGCTGACGAGTTCCAAATAGATTGAAACGTGCGTCCTGGATTCCACTGCTAACCACTATCCATCCTTGCTTAGAATGCTTGTGAAGGAAAGTAATAGTGAGGCAAGACTCACAGTATGCACATATACCAATAAGTGACTGATCACTTGCAGTCCTAAACATCAATGGAAAGATTCAAATAATACATTACCAAGTGAATTCAAATAAATTAATAGTTTCAGCAACGAATCAGTAGTCCATCAATACAGTAAAAATAACAACTGAAATCAAAAATTCAACTAAACTCTTGTAAAACAGATAAATAGCAATATGCCTCCCCGAAAAAAAGAACAGATTCAATCCCTTTGAAAATGACTTCTTTTCATTGTTATCCTATGATTTGGAATCAATAAAATTATTTCAGATCATATTCAAGAAAATATTTTGTTGATTGATTATTCTCAATTATACTTGCTAACACAAATTACATATGATCTATTATCATGGATTTTGAATAAAGATTCTAAATTATGAATTACCTTTCAACGAAGAAAACGTTATACTTATAGTAGTCATTTCAATATAATGAATAGCTGTTTTAGATTACAATTTTAATTTAATTCAAGATCATTTTATCTATCAATTCCTTATCTTCTTTTGTTCAATAATCTTTTTCAGAAATCTAAGAAATAATTTAATTAAGTCTATTACAATTGAATCTGGATTATCAAAGTTAAAAAGCCTTGAAACACTGTAAGTTATTTTAAGATAAATGAAATGATATGTAAATTGTTTTCACCTTACCAATATTTATATTTTTTGACTGAGATCATGAGCCGATTGATGTTAGAACACCATTGAAAACCTGGAAGCACTAGATGGCCGTTTCGTCCTATTGTGGGACTCCTCAGCAGTGCGCATCCACGCGAGTGAAATCGTGGACGAAACGGCAATCTAGTGCTTCCAGGTTTCAATGGTGGTCTAACATCAATCGGTTCATGATCTCAATCAAAAACGTAACAATCTCCACAACCGCTAAACTGATAATATTTATATTGTTCAATAAATATAACGGTGAGTAATGTTTTTATGTTATTCTACTTATCTGTATGCTTAGTGAAAATGACCTTGAATTCTATCATTGTGATCTTATTCTGAAAGTATATCTGACCTTTACTTATGGCTAAAATTTGTAGTGTCGGTTATTATGTTATGCCCATATACCTTATTCTAGCATTCGGACAGGCCAATCTATTCATTCTACTTTTGTCATATTTTAACCTTGTTAATTATTCGCTTATCAATCTTGAATGATTTTATATGAGCTCATGTGTACGTAGATTTCTTATCCTATTCATCATATGTCTGTAACTTATTTTTGTATGGCTATAAATATTGATTAACGCCTGACTAAATTGAATTGGTTCACATGCCTTCTCCATTACGTGTCATTTAGCTTTATTCCCTGATTGCCTGTTCAAATCACTGAGTTCATGAAATATACATATTCAAAATCCATTCTTGTATTTGACTTGTTTAATTCCGTTATTCTCTAATGCGATCTAAATAGATGAAATATACGAGGATAAGTGACATATATTTCGTCAGCAATCATTCAATAACGAACATTCATACGATCTAATTGAAGTCAGATCCCGGGTCACTGAAACTTATACAGTTTTTGTCACATAATGAACTGAAAATACATTATGATATTAAGAAATTGGTTTCTGAAAATAATATATATCAGTCATCATAATATAGGTTATCTGATTTTTTATTAAAACTTTAAAATTATTTAATGAATTATAAGTTGGAAACATCTCTCTATGAATATTTTAAATATGAAAACATAGTCATATTAATACGGCTTTGTATGATTATACATATTAGAATAGATTATTCCTTTAGATTTGATCATCTGATGTAGCTTCATTTTCAAACTAATAACAGACTTGAAGAATGGGAAAAATCCATTTCATTAAGTTGATAGTACCCCCATTGTAAACTGTTTTGTTTCGTTACTCGTTAATATTATCGTAGTCCATTGCGAAAGCAAGCTGTTCTTGGATTTTGTTGCTATCGATCATATAGTTGTATAGTCTTTATATTCAAGATTTCGACGAGTAAAATCACCACATATCCTAATTTTAATACCAACACTACCACTAAAATTCTGCTACGTAATGTTTGTATAACCTGTACGGAAATTGTTGCAAGTTGGTTAATATAGATTACATCAGTCTAATGGTCACATAGCTTTAAGCTATATATACACTCTACTCGTCACAAGTCAAAATTATGTACACCGAATAAAATTACTCGTCGAATGCCTGGAATCTGGAGAATTTTACAAGATACATACTTAGTTAATATGTGTTATTCACGTATTATCATAAAATTTCAATAACAAATGAGACAGGTTTTTTACATTTAAAATGTATATGTGAAGATTTTAAACAAACAAATTTACACTGGTTGAAATCATGAGTCAGTTGAAGTTAGACCACAATCGGAAACCTGGGAGCACTGGACGGCCGTTTCGTCCTATTGTGGGACTCCTCAGCAGTAAGTATCCACGATCTCGCCCCACTCGGGATTCGAATCCAAGACCTGTCTCTCTCGCGCCAGGCCCCTAACCAACTAGACCACTGAGCCGGCATCCAACAGCGTTAATTTCTAACTTCAACCAATCCACGAAGTTGCGCCACCTTACACCATTGTCTTCAGTGAGTTGATATCTACAATTTTACATTAGGATGTTAGTAATCCGTTAGGATAATTGATGAGTGAATGCTCAATTTTACTGATATCATATTACAAAGCCGAACCCTCTTCTAATTTTCTATGGCGTACATAAAATACATCGTTACATCATCCGAAAAATTAACGATTTTAAATGTGGTGGTTTATTTGTGAAAAGTATGGTTTTCAATCTTGATGAGTTTGTCCTAAGAATCGCTTCACTTTAGATATTTATTGGGTAAACAGGTAAAGTAATCTGATTGGCCATCTTGAAGATAATTACTTCGTACTGAATGTTGGTAAACGTTGTTATATCAGAAGGGGTTTGTGGAGATTTTAGAAATTTTCACAGATTGAAATCATGAGTCAGTTGAAGCTAGACCACAATTGAAAACCTGGAAGCACTGGACGGCCGTTTCGTCCTAGTATGGGACTCCTCTAGCTTCAAGTGACTCATGATTTCAATCTGTGAAAATTTCTAAAATCCCCACAAACCCCTTCTGATAATAATCATCTGCTCACTAGTGACTGACTTCAAAAGATACTCCTGGAGTTCTAGTGGGAAGCCGTTACCAGTGGAGTTCAACCAGGTCTGTTGTGAGATATCGGCTCACTGAAGACAATGGTGTATGGTGGCGCAACTTCGTGGATTGGTTGAAGTTAGACATTAACACCGTTGGCTCAGTGGTCTAATGGTTAAGCGCTCGCGCACGGAGCCAGTAGGTCCTGGGTTCGAATGCCAAGGGGTGCGGGATCGTGGATGCGTACTGCTGAGGAGTCCCATACTTGGACGAAACGTTGTTATAGTTATCTAAGAAAAAGTAAAGGAGATATAAGCAAAATCATATTAATCTCTTTCACAATGCTTCATTCATACATATAAGCATGTGATGTGAAGTTATAAAACATTTAGATTAATTTTTACATATTCAGATCTACAGGGGACAAATCAGTAGACAACTGATGGATATACGTAATATCATCCTATAACACACCTACACAACTACATTTAAACTTGAATGGGTTTCGCTACTCTATACTGTTAGTATCCGCAAATGAATGATTGCCTTTGGATAAAATAGATTATATTCTGTAAGGTTTAATTTATTTGACCGTTATTAATTTTCATATCAAATGGCTTGATAAGTATATGTATGACCAGATTGTTCGAAATGTATGGCGTGATTACGTCACATTTTTCATATCAACTCTATCTTTTCGCTGTTCTACAAAAATTTATATAAGGAATTGATTGCTTCAAACTTTGTTCATTTACCATTTAAATACTCTAAATTTTAGTGAACTAATTAAGATACAGGGAGCAAAACTGATTCATACGAGTTATCATGAAGTGTCGTTCATCCTATCAACATTTCCCAGAATTAAAATAAGATATAAAACTAACGAATCTATGAAAATACAACCTAATGAACTAAGCCTAGAATGACATTGAATCCATTTGTACAGTGAATCCCAGTGACTGTATAAAGGGATAAAATATATAATGCTTAATCTCTGTTTAAGATCTACAGTTTAACAATTAAATATTTAAATCAATGAACGGCTGATTTACATATATATATATATATATATATATATATATATATATATATATATATATTAATGAAACATCTTCAGTTGGCAAAATTTACTTTCAAAGGTCAACATTTCAGGTTACCATTTTTACCTTAGGCAATAGCAGTTAGGTTTATTTTTCATAATATAAACGTAGACTTTTTGAAGTAACTTTTTATGTTACCATAATAACTTATTCATGTATAAGAAACTAGTTGAATATTACTCTATTTTTGAAGGAGAAAATGAAAGCACTCGACAAAAAGAAACATAAAATAAAGATAAGGTCACATAAAAAAATAATGACATTGGTTTTCTAATAATAAATTTTAGTTCAATCTTCATTGTTATTTAGTTCATCAAGTAAACCTGTTTTATTCGTGGAGATGAGGGAAAAATAATCCATTTAAAATCTAGCTTTTTAGTTTCCATGTTTGTAAAGCTTCTAAAGTCAATTTCTATCAATATAGACAGATATAAGAAATGGAAATGCATAAAATATAACTAACTAATACACAATACTTAAGCATATTCTAATATACATTTACTATATTTTGTAACAAACTGACTAGACTTCATATTGTTTCCTGTACAAAGTGTCCAGCAAAACGGATTTTACAAATAAGATTATTAGGACGAAAACCACCGAGATTAATGAAAATTCTAACGTTGCTTTGAAATGTGATTATTATCATAGAATTGACAATGATATCCTAACAATTCGAAAAATATCCATATAATTTGTTAACCAGATATGATGTAGAGAAAGTAAAATTGTAACCGGAAACAAGAGAATTTTTAAAATTTTATCCAAGCTATTACTTCACATTCAATGAACTTAGATTGCTAGTTTTTATTACATCTTATCGAAGCTTCTATTGGTCATGTGCCCTAGAAAAGTAATTTTGAATTAAAATAATTGTATGAAACAAAAGTTAATTTTCTTCTTTAATTGTTGATCGAAATAAACTGTTTCATGAAAAATGATGCAATTTTAATCTTTTGTTTAAATGTAATTAATAGTAATAGAAGTGTTCTGCTTTGATTAATAATTTTATTATAAACTGAGTCATCTGAAGCTTGAAAAATTGATACAAACCATTAAACATTAGCTGAATTATATCTGAATTCTTTGAAAATTAAGTTCTCATTTGGTCACATTCTATACTGGTCTTAAATGATATAAATAAAGATTAATTTAAAGACTTTCCGCTGATTTCATTGAGCATAAAGGTGTTTTCATTTTTATTACAATTACAATGACCATACAACTGAAACTTCGTTAAAGCACTGTGTAAGAGCGAGCAAAAAACAGCCGAGGTAGATTCTGTTAGGTCCCGATAAACATAATGAATGGTAACTTTGAGATCCTTTTATGAACCAATACTAAACGTATATTTTTATACTATAATCGTTAAATATCTAAACTATTC